AAATAAGATAAACCAATGGAAAACAGGCATAACACTTATGCTATTCCTAATAACGAAAATATTTCTATGATGAATATCGTAGAATATGATGAAGATGATAATATGACTGATGAGGAATGAAATCATCATCATACTATCACAACCATGTACAGACAAGGAACTTTAGATTCTTTGTCCCAAACAAATGAAAATGTCCAAATTGATACAAGGGACAATATCATGGATGAAATAAATGATATCATAGATACATTTTTTAATAATTTGTGTCTAAATGAAAAAGATGATACATTGGATAATGTATCTGAAGTCTCAGAACCCATAACCACGTTACGGTTAATTAACACAAATGGTGATACATTGGATATTGTATCCATAGTCTCAGAACTCTTATCCACTTTAGGGTTAGTTAACACAAATGTTGGATCAAACCTTTTCCAACTCCATAGCTATCAGTTAGAACCTGATAGCGATCAAAGTTATTCAATCGATTTTTTGACCAGAGAATCACCACAAAATGTTATTTCTAATGACAATCAATACACTACACAAGGCAAAAGGCTAATCTTCTTCTAAACATAGGAGGAATAGATTCTCAATTATTACCGACATATATTGAACAATGAACAACAGCTGTAATCCGTGATTATGGTATACACCACGAGAAAGATGTTCAATCTTCTCAACAAATGATTGCTAAAGGCGAAACCTATTTAGGTGATATAGCCAGAACATGTTGGAAATCTTTTAAAAAGAATTACCCTGCTGACTTAAACATGTTAGTGATTGAACCAAGTCCTAACATATACAATTTTTGTTCTTTTTTACAGAGATTACTTACTTCCAGTTTGCAAATGATGGGAATACACTTAGATAACAAATCTATCTAGGTCATCTAGAAAGACTTTCCATAACATACTTTGGAAAAATAAAATATTTTTTTACAAAAATTCTTATGTATGTGTCCATAGCTGGATGTTTCCATGATTTAAGTGTAGGAAAAAAGATGTTTCTCAAACTACCAGGAAAACTAGGCCAAAAGATCCAATAATCCTGAAAAAATGATGAGGTTACTCCCATGTTGAACAACACATCTATACATATACAACACATTATGAAAGTGATGGTAGATACGTGTACACATATTGCTATACAAAAGCAATTAAAAAATTCTGATACTGGAATTTGAAAACAAATATATACTCCTCAGCATTATAATCAAAACAAACCTTACATAAGGTATGTACCTAGGAGTAAACCTAGATATAATAAAAATTACAATAAGAATTCTTATTCTGCAAGACAAAAACTCATTACACCTAGGAAGACTTATACAATAAGATCTTCTAACTCTAGAAAACCAACTTTAAATCATCACAGACACGTTAAAAAATTTAGAGACAACAAAACATACAAACAAACTTAAAAATGTTTCACTTATAATCAATCAGGACATTTATCTAAAGATTGTCCTAACATTGCAAATCTCTACATAAAAGAGGCAGAACTCATAAAATTTTGCCACATGAACCTTTTTCCAATTGATGAAGATGTTTCTACTGATTCTGAAATACTATTAGTAATTAATATTACAGAATATACTTATGAAATTTATTTAGACAAAAGCCACAAAGATTATGGCCTAATAAATGATTTTACAAATAATGAATTCATACACCTTTATCCACAAAAATATGATTTCCAAGTGAATAATAAATATAATGAATTAGGAGAAATATTAGATGATTTTGGTTATTATCTAATGAATACAATAACTTCTTATTGTAATAAGAAATCTAACAAAAGGGTATTGTAGAATTCTATCAGTTACACATGTACAGATATGACAAGCCCAATCAACAAAGAAAAGTCGCCAACCTCAGCAACTGAAGAGTTTGATACTCTAAAATTTGGTACACAATATCTTTCGATTTTACCAGAAGGTCATCCTCAACAATTCAAATGTCTGAGAAACTGTCCCGTTTCTAGGGAACAAAAGGTTCTACTTGATGCTCTTCATCGAGCCTGTAACCCAACAGCAAATCTCAATGCTATCAATGCATTAAATTATTATTTTTCAAAAATATTGCCTGCTTCTTTTAAAAAAATCAAGAATGAGGTTTGCTGCTTTTTTACTAGTGACAAGCATGGCGTCTACCTATCATATCCTTCTCTTTTGAAGGTTGTAGGTAATGACAAAAACAACAAATTTTAAGTATTTTGTAACCTTGAAGAAGTTGTACAGGCAGTGACCGACTATGTTGGAGGTGATAACATGCTAGACCATCTAGAAGTAGGTAATTTCATTTTTGAAAAATCAACAAAACAAGACAATTTTTCAATTTATGATTCTATTAAACTCAGACAACATTTAACTTTTGCCAGAAAAATGGAACAAAAATTGAAAACCTCTCTTTTTCTAAAAAAAAATATTTTCAAAAACATATTTCTTGTTTGGAAAAAAATAAAAAATAAAAAACCGAAATCTTAGATCTTCATAAAAAGATGGACTATGATTCCGAAACCATGGATCACAAAACATATGACCTATATTGGGTCATTCAAAAGAAAATTATTGGACCAACTAACTCAATCTAAGAAAAAATCTACCAACATGTTTCATATGCTTTGTTAGTAGATCTTGAAGCACTCCAGATCTGATTATTCCAACTATCAGAAGATTCTGCACTCCGACAACACTTGAGGATAGCCCAATCTCAGGATAATTTGACCCCCTCATCTTCCAATCAATACATCTTCCAATCAATACAACATCAGAATAAATCCTTATTTGGTGGAATGTGATCCTGCATGGATCAACAAAAGATTAACTGAAGATTTATTTTTTTCAGGATTCATAAAAATGATGATTATTTTTAGGGATGCAGTGAAAGAACCATTTTTCGGTACAAAAATTAACTACTGGATAAATGCGTTCTTTCATTGTGATTACAATGAAGAATACTTTATTAAAATATGCTCTACACACCCCAGCAACACAAATGACGAATATAGTCTAACAAGATATCATCTATTTCTGGATTATGAGTTATTCATTGACATCTTCTTCAATTATACACTCCAAAAAATTAATTATGACAACCATCATTTCACTTCAACAAGGTATGATTAATTCCTAGAAGAAGATATCAAAAAGAAGTTGTTAGGCTGAAACTACTACAATCAGTCTTTAGGTAAGACTTGACAAAACTTCATATCTACGGCAGAACGGTAAAACCCCCGTCTCACCACAACCAATGAGTCTTTCAAATAAGGATGAATTTACCTTTGAAGATTTTGAAGAACTGTTCATGACGTAAGCCCTTACATCATATAATAATATCAAAAAATGACAAATGTTAATGGTAGATAATGATATCTTGCTACCTTATCATGGTTACATGTTGTTAGACCTTTTAAGACTTACGTATTAATGACGAAAAGATTAAACCAATTTTTTGATAAATAAAAAAATAAAAATAAAAATATGAAAGAATATTTTAATCAATTTTGTTTTGTGTCGAGTAAAATTCTCTGCTAACTATCTCACATTCTAATATTTTCAAATGTGAAACCCCATTAATTATTTCTTTATTCATTAATTTATTATTATTTTCCTTTTAAAAAAATTTATATAAGGACTCGTAGGTCCCTTATGTTGGGAAGAGATCCTCAGAAGCCCCTTTCCTTTTATCTCTCCTCTTTCTCTCTACCCCTCTCTCTCATGTAAATTTATCTCCATTAATAAGAGAAACACTTTCAAATTTCCCCTCTCCTTCTCCTTCCCTCATCCGAGTAAGTTTTCATTACTCCTCTCTTATGGAGTAGTTTTCTTTTAAAGGCGTTCTCGGATGCCTTAAGTAGTATTTATTAAAAGATACGATAATCATTTAAAGGCTTAAAAACTTTGTATAGTTTTTATGTTCATATAAGCTTATGAGAAAATATCTAACCGGTTTTACTAGATTCAGTCATCTCATAATTTTATCATGAACTTGTTTATTTATATTTCTATCTTTTAATTTCTGCCTTTATTTTTCACGTTTATGTAAGCTTATGAGGAAATGTCTAACTGACTCTGCAGATTCATACATCTCATAATCTTATTTTGAATATTTTCTTGTTATAACCGACTTTATCTCAAATAGTCTTCATTTAAACTAGCTTGATTTCAGGTTCTTTGAAAGTTAAGTAGTCACATTAACTTATAGAAGAAATAAAGATTTATAACATGATTTGATTTATTTCTTTTTTCGTCCTTCTTTCTCCTTCCTTTTCTGGGGTCAGAACACTTTTATAAGTTTTATCCCCCAGTTTTTCTGGGTTTTATCCCCCTGTTTTCATCCACTTTGAATTTCATCATTAAACAAAGAAGATTAGAAGAAACAGGGGATACAAACTAAAATTAAAGGGTAATAACATTGTTCTCATTGCATTTAATTATATATTTTTCTTTAAACAAAATAAGTTATAAAAATTACATATTTCATCCTACTTATCATTTACCATATAAGGGTATCTTAAAAATAAATATAAATATTTTATTATAAATCTCATCTATGAATTATTTAAAATTTATTAAGAATTTATTATATAAACAATTTTCTAAAATTTATTAAGAATTAATTATATAAACAATTTTCTTCTAATTTTAAGTAATTTTTTTTAATTTTTTTCTAATTTTAAATAACTTAGATATAAATCTTATAATAAAATATCTATTTTTATTCTTAAACAAACAACTCTCATAATAGAAAATTCAGAAAAAAAAATTATGATAATTTTAAAAATCTTAAAGATTCATTTAAAAAAAATTACACAATCAAATGAACTAATTACAAATGCTACTAATTTAAGACTGTCTTAATATATAATCATTAATATAATGTATAAGGCTATATAATGCATTCACTGCTCTGTCATACAGTCATGTATCGTGTCTATAAGATTGATTCAACCATGTTTATAGATGCTAACCTTTTGTTTCTCATACATTTTCCAGTTCAAATCTTGAAAGGTGCAAGAGCACTTCTACCATCCAGTCCTTTTGCAACAAAGTAGGCTTCATACTCAGTAAATGTAGTTTCCCTATATTTTGGAGGATCCTTTTCAGATAATAGTTCCTTTATAGGTCCTAAAGGCCTTAAGGATGCCTCAGCACCAGGGCTGAAAAAGCATGCAACAGATATTCTTGGACCAACATGATTTGAAAGCACTCTGTGTTCAGAACTCTTCAATCTATCATTTGTTACAAGCTATAATTCAAACAGACAAACAGTTAGCAACATGGTTACATCCAATAATAAGGCTCATTCAAATAACACCAGAAAGAAACAACCAAGTCGTGTTTCAACTAGGTGGGAACAAGAACATGGATCGAATGAGTGGTTCTGACTCTATCATTCAATTTTAACAACAAAATGACTCAACTCAAACTGTCTGAATACCTGGAATCTTTCCGTTATTGTTCATTGAGGGATGTAAGTTATGTAGAAGTAGTCAATTTAGTCATACAATAAGGAACATTATAAGCACAGAAGGCAAACATTTGCAAGATGGAAGATGGTGGTAGCAATACCATGTCAAGTTGTATGGTTTGATTTGACATACTCTTTCTGATACACCTGCTGAAACACTTCAACATACTCTTATGAATGTATTCATGTTAGTTGAAATTCATATAAGGGTCAATTGTTTAGCAGAACTCTTTGTTCTATTTAGTAACATTGGATTATAATAATACACTGTGCAGGACATATTTTTATTACTTCATTAGTGTTGAGCCATGATCATTGTTTAAGTTAACTATAATCTTTTGCCAACTTCCATTAGAAAAATGAAGCCTTACATGTACTAGTATCTGTGATAGAAAAAAGTTGCAAAATAACAGGAGAATAACAGAAAACTTGCCTGCAAAAGATCGCCAATATTAATTACCAAAGCACCAGGTACAGGGTTTATATCAATCCACTTGTCATCGCATCTTATTTGGAGGCCACCAATGTGGTCCTGGAGAAGGATTGTGAAGAAATCATTGTCAGCATGCGCGGTGGTTCCCATAGTCAAATCTGGTTCCGGACATGCAGGATAATAATGGCAAATACCAAATACTCTTTCTGCACATCCCAAATCTTTAAGATAGTTTGGAATCAGATCCAAAGCTTCTGAAAACATCTCAAGAAGTAAAATCCCAAGCTTCATTATGTATTTCCTGTAATCCAGCAGTATGTCTCTACAAGAAAATGCAGTCAATCAGAAGGGTGGAATTTTAGTTTTGGACCTTCTCAATTGTCTCAGTTAGCTTCTATAATAGTTAAATTTTCAAACTTCATCTTTTAACTTTGATTTTATAATATGTAGAAATGAACACAGGTCACGGATTTTAACACAACCTTCAATTTCATTTTTTCTTTTTAGATAAAGAAACATATATTAGAAGATAGGAGTGCAAGTGATCAGGGTATTGATAGGACGGAAACATACCACCAAGAGTGACTACAAGAACTGTGGCTAGAGCTAAAGAGAAGGAAAGGTTTCAACAAGTCATAGAATTCAAGGGGAGGATTGCTAGAAGAACAGCTAGAGAGTTTGAAAACGAGAAAGGTAGTAATATATAATTAGAATAGATGTTTTTTCCTTCCCCTTGTATATCTCCACTTGTTGGGTTGATTTTGATCATTTACCATAGTTTGAAAGACCAAAACCCTTCATACCCATTTTATTGGTTTCACCAACAAAGGGTACCCTGCCCTTAACATCAAGATGGTGTCCTAGTTTTGCAATAGGTATTCTTTTGTTACTTTCATAATGCAATTTCTAGATTTGACCAGAAATGCTTCTTTTAACAGCATGACAAAACTGTACTTTTTCCACCTAACAAACATAAAAACATTGCCAAATTTGATAAGGGACATAACAGGTAAAAAAAAAAAAGTGTTCAGTTGTTTCCAATTCACATTCCCAGAAGACAAGACACACAAGTTCTTACTTTGAAACATAATTCCACTTCTTTGTAGATTTCTTTTTCAGGGTATTTTATCAAGTATTACCTTCCGATCTATGATCAACAAATAAATCTGTGTACCTTAACACTCGGTATTTCAGACTACTTTCTTGGGATACTAAGATTTATATAAGAATCTGACCTTTTCCGATACACACAAACTTAGGTCTTAGAGACCGAATCCTTTACTCATGTCATACCATGTTAGTTTAACTGACAAATTTGAAGGAACAAGTAATTGATAACACAAAAATACCTGCATGCTACAGGAATTTCTTCTGGTTTGGGGGCATCAGGATACAACAAGCACTTAAAAGTATCCCTCCAATTGAGTGCTGGCTGTGAGCCATATAGATCAAAATTGCTGTTATAGAAAAAGGGTTTTGTTCTATCTCGTGAATAGAATTCCTTTTTGTCTTTAGTATCCAGCTCATGAAACCTTTTGACTCCATTTTTCATCTCCTCAAGAACACTCACTGGGATCTCATGATTGACCACCTGAAAGAAACCCCATGTTTGAGATGCCCTCTTGACTATTTCAACAAGCTCGTGGCGCTTACTTGCATCCGTGTGAATATCTGCAAGGTCTATCACTGGAATAACATGGCTTGTGTTGCTTAAATTTGAGACCTTCTTCTCAGATTTCTCAGGTGGAACACGGAATATGCTAGGAACCTTCTTAGTACCTGCATCAACAAGCCCTTTGACACCAGCTTTTGTTTCATCAAATGCTTTGCGTTGACTGAGAACATAATCGAAGTCAGACTCACTTGTTGTTGCCATTTCCCTTTTAGTGGTAAAGGGTGAGTGCACGAGTCAGGGAAGAATTAAGCAGCTATGCCTTGAAGATTTGCTTCAAAGGAATCAATAACGGAGGATGACGAAGAAATAATTATCTATAACTTTTGTGTTGTATTTCATGTGTTTTTATGTCAATAGTTGTGATCCAAAACAGGACAAGAGTGTAGGTTCCTGGTCACATCACAGCTTTAAATAGCTTAATATCTTCTGTCACATGTGTCAAATAAAAATTAAAAGACTTATTTTATTTGTACTGGTAATATGGATAATTACATTGAAATAGATCCAACAAAAAAACTGAGAAGGATTTATATCTTTCTTTATTTACTTCAATTTTGATGTATCCTTTTTCCAGATTTTTTTCTCTATTCTTCCACCAACCGAGGTAGTTTTCTTGATCTTTACAGCATTATCTTATATTTTTCTTTTTATAGAGAAATTTTAGTTTTTTACTTAATCCTTTATAGGACCCTAAAGCTTTGTTAATGGCAGAAGATTTGTGTTGAAGAACCAAGCAATTGATTGTCATTTTTTATAACTCATAAGATGTTTGGAACAGAATTGTTGATTGTCATTAAACTGTAAAATGGAAAACAAATTGAATTGAAGCATCACAACACTTCCAAATGTGAGACAACTTATTAGTTTGATATGTTAGTTGTTATCAATGTTGTTTGAAGGTGAAAAAAAAAAACGGTTCTATTACACATTGTCACATTGGTTTTTTTGGTAAATGGTCTGAATTTATTCTCATGTCACACAAAACATTTTTCAGTTTCCTAATTGTAATTGTATTTTTTTATATATGAAATATATATATATATATATATATATATATATAATCATAAAATATTAAATATTAATAATATTTTAATCATTATATTTAATAAAAAATAATAATATATTTGTATTCTTATTTTAAAAAATAATATAAAATTTTTAAATAAAAGATTCTCAACAATAATTCTTAAATAACATATAATAATGAAATATTTTTTCTTTTTTATTAGTTCGTCAACGGAAAATTCTATCATAACTTAAATAATAAATAAAAGACAAACAAATTCATAATATTCCTGATAGATAAAAATTTATACGATCATTATATATGTGTATTTTTTTAATACATGAAATATATATTTTATATTTTATATGTATATTTTATGCACGTATATATATATATATATATATATATATATATATATATATATATATATATATAGTTGAAAACAGAATTAATCTAAAAATAAAATTAAAAATTATTTTTTTTAGATTTTTTGAATTAAGTATTTTTAAGTTGTCGGTTCAAATTAAAAATTAATATGAACTGAATAAAAATTATAATATGTATTATTGAAATTAAAATATAAGATGAAACTTTTTAGAAGCGAGTGAAATTGAATGTGAAAATATATAGACACAAATTAAAATTATAAATATCTTAATAATCAAGCAAGATGTTTTTATAATATATTTTTCATTAAATAATTATTTTATTATAATAAATTTTGAATATCATAAAGATCACCTAAATCAAATAATAAAATATTGATTTTATTTAATTTAAATTTTAAAATAAAAATCTAACCATGTTTAAATTTCATATTTGATTCAAGTCATTTTTTAATTAAAAACCAAACCAAACTGTATAGTCAATACAAATCAAATCTTCATGAAACAAATAATTCGTTCAGCATATACTACTAAAATTCGACATGTAAATTTTTAACATTATTTTGTTTTAAAGAAAAAAATTGCTTATACTTCTTTGTTTCCTATTTTCAAAGTAAAAGATAAACAAACTATCAATTAGATTTTGAAGTGGCCAAAATCAGCCACATTTATTTTAAAATTAATAAAATGGTGGAAATATTAATCAGATTGTATATCATATAGAATTTATAAAAAAAATTAATTATTCTAAAATAACTATATTTTCTTTTAATTTTATAACTATTAAATTGATCTCAAATTATAAATTATTAATTAATTTAATCCTTAAAATTATACAGTAAATAAACGAATGAATCTTAACAATAATATATTTTAAAAGAATAATTATTTAAATAGAATCTATATGAATTTATTTACTAAAATAAATAGATACGCTTATTATATTTATGTGGTTTTTTCATTTTTTTTCCATCAATTTTGTATTTCTTCTCTTTTTTCATTAACTCTTTATTTTTTTCTATCTTACTCTTTTTTCTTTCCTTGTTCTCCTAATTAAACTATTATATTAAAATTTAATAAAAATATATTAAAACAAACATTTTAAAAATAATATTAAAACTAAAAAAATACTAACTAATTATTTAAAATTATGATAAAAAATAATTTTATTTATGATGATATAAATAATTAATTTAAAATTATTTTACCATGATAAATAAATTACTCATCTAATTAAAAAATATAAAATATTTATAAATTAAATATATTTTTTATTTAATAATTATATCTAATTATAATAAGTTTGAGTTATGATAATTAATTAAATTAAAAAATTTTAAAAACTATTTATTAAAAAAATACTTTAAAATAAATATTTAATTTTTTTCTTAATAAGTATAATATAATAATAATATTTATAACATCTCAAATTTATTATATAATATTTTTTAAATATAATATATTAATTTATAATATTTTTAGATTATTGAAATATTTTTGTTTTTAATAATAATAAAATACTTATATTATCAAGTTTTAATCTACTATTTTTAATTAAATTAAAGAATAAAATGAGAAAAGAACATGAGAAAGAAAAAGAGAAAAAAATAAAAAACAACAAACAGAAAAATAATAAAATAAATTAAGAAAAAGGGAAAAATATTCGACAAATTTATTTTTTTTTATTAAAATTTATGTACGAACAATATTTATTGTTCTGATCGGATAAATAAAATTAAGGGAACTTTATTTAAATAATTTTTTTAAATATATTATTTATAATATTGATTCATAAACAAACGTTTAAATAAAAAAATAATATAAACTTTTTTATTGCGTAGATTGATTCAACTTTCTATTTTATCATCTTATTAAATTTAACTTATTTTTGTAATTTTAATTATTAAAAATATGTTTAGATCAACTTCTACATAAATATAAAAAAAAAATAAGTTACTTTCTTAATAATCTCAAAATTAATATATAGGTAAACAAATTTATAGATATTTTTTATATAATTTATACATAAATTAAAATTTATCTTTAAATTTCTATTTTTGACGAATATATAAATTAATTTTATAGTATTTATTTTCTTTGAAGTCCAAACACAAAAAAATGTTTTAATTTTAAAATAATTAGAAATATATGAAATTTTTTTATTAACTTTCTCTTCTTTTATAAGAAGAATTGCAAAATTTAATAGACTTTTAAAAAAAATATATATATATATATATATATATATATATATATATATATATATATATATATATATATATATATATATATATATATATATGTATGAAAAAAAGTTAGTGAACACGACAGATATATCTTTTTATTAATCATATTGATTAATAATATATATTCAATAATAAAAAAATTAATAGTATAGAAAAAAAAAAAAAGATACATCTCTCTATTAATCATCAATAATTCATATGCTGCATTTGGGATGAATCAATCATCCTTCAAATATATCACTAATTTTTTGAGCTACGGGACGCAACATTGCGATGTGCTAATGGGTCTGGAAGATTTGTGAGAAAGGGAAAGGGGTTTCGCGAAAAGGCGAAAGCAGAATTCGGCGAAGAATCTGAGAACGTGGGACTTTGATTCGCGAGATGTATCAGTGGCGGAAGTTCGAGTTTTTCGAGGAAAAGTACGGTGCCAAGTGCTTGACTCCCGAGGGCGACGATGGAGGTGACGTCGTCGGGGAGAAGAAGATCGAGTGCTGCTCCAGCGGTAGGGGCAAAGTCGTCACCGGCTTCGACGACGGCGTCGTTTGCTTCTTCGATCGAGGCTTAAAGTTCAATTACGCTTTCCAACCTCATTCCTCTAACGTTCGCTTTCTTCAGCAACTCAAGGTAAGAGATTAATGATTGCTGAGATTTCCTACAATTGTTCATTTTTTTTTAATTGCGTATGATGAAGTTATTGGAATTTTTTAGAATTTTATTTTTGAGAATCAGTTAGAGAATCTGCAGGTTTAGTGAGATGGATTTTACTTATTTTTGCGTTTTCAAAGGATCAAGGAGGGGTATTTTGCGGTTTAAATGTTTTGTTCACGGAAGTAGCAGTTCAATTACGCTTTGCTCTTGAAATGAAGTTCAGTTATGATTTTTTAATTGTTGGAATTAAGTAGTAGTAGTTTAACCTCACTCTTTTTTCGTTGTCTTTCCTCAGAAGTACCTTGTAAGGTGAGATCATTGATGGGATTTTCTAGAATCCTGCTTTCAATTGTGTTTGATTGCCGGTTGTTTCGGTGGTGGAAATTTCTAGAATCCTATTTTTAGTTGTGAAGATTGGTGATAGAGTTAGCGGTCATAGCTGAAAGTTTTTTAAATTGCGGTTGTGATCGTGGTTTTTGCGCGATCCCTGATGTTGTGGGAAATTGTGGGGAAATGTGGCCGCATGCAATTGCGGTTGCCGTTGACTCCGAAAACCTTGAAGCAGCAGCTGAAACTGCAGTTGTGGTCACTCCGAAAACCATGACTGCAGTGACTCCAAAAACTCTGATGCTGCGGGTGAAACTGTGGTTGTTACCATTTTTTAAAACTTTGCTTTGTAGTATAATTTTTTTTTTTTATGTTTATTAGGATTGGACATTGGTGAAGGGCTTTTATGGTTTAAGAACACGTTTGGATGTTTGTTTGTAATAGTGCAAACTAACATTCATACATTCCAAAACATGGAATGGATAAGCAAAAATTTCTGTCATTTGTGTTGAACTTAGGTTTGGTTACCTTAACTTCAACTGATAAGATAACCAAACGCATGTTTTGTTGGGTTATATAGGGTTGTGCTTTGATTCTTGAATTGAAGTTAAAAGAGGTGTGTTTTGTGTGTTGATTAACCAGCAACGCAATTTTCTGGTAACAATTGGAGAGGATGAACAGCTTACTCCCCAGCAATCAGCTTTGTGCCTCAAGGTTTTTGACCTTGACAAGATGCAACCAGAGAGTTCAAGCACAGCGAGTCCTGATTGTGTCGGGATATTGCGGATATTCACTAATCAGTTTCCTGAGGCAAAGGTAATGAATGAATTGCATGCTTGTTACTACTCATTTTCTGATTAATGATGTTCATGTGGTATTAGTTAAACTGGGTAGTAAAGTAACGTAGTTTTATTGTCTCAGTCCCTCATTTTGATGGTTTGGGAACTATGGTGTACTACAGATTACATCTTTTTTGGTTTTGGAAGAAGTGCCACCTATACTGCTCATAGCTATTGGATTGGACAATGGTTCTATTTACTGCATCAAAGGAGACATTGCCCGGGAGCGTATCACACGTTTCAAGCTTCAGGTTGAAAACAACCATTCAGACAAAACACTTTCTGCTGTCACTGGACTTGGGTTTAGGGTGGATGGTCAATCTCTACAGTTATTTGCTGTGACTCCAAGTTCAGTGAGCTTGTTTTCGTTGCATAATCAACCACCGCGAAGGCAAACCCTTGATCAGATTGGATGTGGTGTAAACGGTGTTGCAATGAGTGAACGCTCTGTATGATGTCTCTGTTCATTGTTCTGAAATAAATTTTATAAACTGTCATAATTATATTCTGTCATGATGAATGTCTCTATTTGTTAATATGAATAGGAGTTGATAATTGGTCGACCAGAGGCAGTATATTTTTATGAAGTTGATGGGCGTGGTCCTTGTTGGGCTTTTGAGGGAGAGAAGAAGTTGCTTGGATGGTTTCGTGGATACCTTTTATGTGTTATTGCAGATCAAAGAATAGGAAAACATACTTTCAACATCTATGACCTCAAGAATCGATTAATAGCCCACAGTGCATTGGTTAAAGAAGTTTCTCATATGCTTTATGAATGGGGTAACATCATACTCATAATGAATGACAAATCAGCTTTATGTATTGGAGAAAAGGATATGGAAAGCAAGTTAGACATGTTATTCAAGAAAAACCTATATTCTGTAGCCATTAATCTTGTACAGACTCAACAAGCAGATGCTGCAGCTACTGCTGAAGTGCTAAGGAAATATGGGGATCATCTATATAGCAAGCAAGACTATGATGAAGCAATGGCCCAGTACATTCTTACTATTGGTCACCTTGAACCTTCTTATGTTATACAGAAGTTTTTGGATGCTCAAAGAATCTATAACCTCACAAATTACTTAGAGAAGCTACATGAGAAGGGTCTTGCTTCTAAAGATCACACCACACTTCTATTAAACTGTTACACCAAATTGAAAGATGTTGAAAAGTTAAATCTATTTATTAAAAGTGACGATAGCATTGGGGAACTTAAATTTGATGTGGAAACAGCAATCAGGGTTTGCCGTGCTGCCAATTACCATGAGCATGCAATGTATGTTGCAAAGAAGGCAGGGAGGCATGAATGGTACTTGAAGATCTTGCTTGAAGATCTGGGTAGCTATGAAGAAGCCTTGGAATATATTTCGAGTCTTGAATCAAGTCAGGCAGGGATGACAGTAACGGAGTATGGGAAAATTTTGATAGAGCACAAGCCAGCAGAGACAATTCAGATTCTCATAAGGCTTTGCACGGAAGATGGTGACAAAAGAGGACGACGCCCAAAGGGAGTGTATATGTCTATGTTGCCATCTCCTGTTGATTTTCTTAGCATTTTCATTCATCATCCTCAGTCCCTTATGGATTTTCTAGAAAAGTATACGAGTAAAGTTAACGACTCACCTGCTCAAGTTGAGATTCATAATACCCTCTTAGAGTTGTATATATCCAATGAATTGAATTTTCCTTCGATGTCACAAGTTAATGATGGTATAAATGACCTTAATGGAGTATCAGCAAAAACTATGAGTGCTCAGTCTAATGGAAGCATTGCTGATCACGAAAGTTCTGAACAGGGAAAGGACCGTCTCGAAAGGCGTAAAAAGGGTTTACACTTGCTTAAGAGTGCATGGCCCCCAGAGACAGAACATCCACTATATGATGTTGATTTAGCAATTATACTATGTGAAATGAATGCATTCAAAGATGGGCTTTTGTATTTATATGAAAAGATGAAACTCTATAAAGAAGTGATTGCATGCTATATGCAGGCACATGATCACGAGGGGTTAATTGCATGCTGCAAAAGGCTGGGGGATTCAGTTAAAGGAGGGGACCCATCTCTTTGGGCTGATGTACTTAAATATTTTGGTGAGCTTGGAGAAGATTGTTCTAAAGAAGTAAAAGAAGTTCTGACCTATATTGACAGGGATGATATTTTGCCCCCTATAATTGTGCTTCAAACTCTCTCCCGAAATCCATGCCTCACACTTTCCGTGATCAAAGATTACATTGCTCGAAAGCTTGAGCGGGAATCAAAGATGATTGAGGAGGACCGACAAGCTATTGAGAAATATCAGGTTTTGTTACAAGTCTGCCTTAATTATTTAATGCTTAATATGTTGTGTGTTTGTGTCCATTGTAGATACTCTTGTTAATTTCCATTCCTTTTGTTTTCTAATGGCATAATCAATTTAAACAAAAGTAAGATGCATTCTGGAAAATAGAAACTTAGCAGATAATGGCTTTTAAAACTAAGCAGTTTAAAATTAAACAAAATATAAAACATAGGAAACTGAGTTTTTTTTTTTTAATTTATTTATTTTTTCTCTTTTTTACATGCCAGATGCTTTTTATGCATGTAAAGTAAATCTTTTGCTTCTTGTTGGAGATGGAGACTAGTGCATTGTGATGATAAGCCGGTAAATACAAATGATTATGTGCCCCATTTGTTAAAGCTTTTGAAACAAAATAAGTCATTTTAAGAATTATAAAGTAGTGGTGAATTTTCTAGAGATTTTATCTAGAGAACAAGCTATTTTTTGTTTGGTGTTAATTATCAAAGATAGTTCTTTGTTTGTTTTAAAAGATAATTAAAATTATAGTTTTTCTTTTTCCAGAAGCTATACAAAGTAGCTTCTCAAAATAATAAAATATCTCATTTCTTTTAGTTTTCTAGTTATTTTTAACGATCTCAATTTTCATTTTTCATAATGAAATTGATTTTTAATGTGAAGAAAAACAAACGAGTTCTATACTGATAATAAATAATTTCTTTTCATGTAATATAATTAAATTTATTGAGAAATATTTCTTAAATAATCATGTGTGAAGATAAAATTCTTTACTCCAAACATTGGTCTTCCTATCTGGTCGGGAGAAGTACTCTGGGAAAGAAAAATTGAGAAACAAAATACTTAGATATCCTTCTTAGCCTCATGAGTATGAGTGATATTTTTTGTATTACTATTCTTTCTGTAAACTATATGGAAGTCTTATCTGAAGAATCTGTGCAGGTAATTGAACAATATATTTTTTGGTTTCTATTACTCTTGGATCATTCCTCCAAATTAATATGATCAGGCACGTGAATACTGTAGCAGAAATTGAAGACATTGAAATTTGTCATGCAAGAAGACCCTAGTAACTAGTGAATCATAATAAATGGAAAACACCTTTTGAATTTTAAAGTAACAGTTGGGTGATTATGATTATTCAATGTGAAGCAGACACCCGTTTTCTGTTGTGATATTTGTTTTAGTAAGCATCTTCATGTCATAATACAACATGCCATTTGTTATTCGTCATATGAATTGAATTTTCATCACCTAGAACGGTTGTGGTTCTTTTAAAGATGAAGTAGCGTATTGTGATGATAAATGGTAAATACAAATGATGATTTTGATAAAAAAATAATTTCTTTGAATATAATGAAATTTAATTTATTAAGAAATAGTTATCAGATGCTCCTTTTATGATAAATTATTCTTTGCGTCATGAGTCTGGTGATCTTCTTTCTTAATTGTTATTCTTTACGTAATTAGTAAGGAAGGATTTACATAGAAGTATTTCTGTGCAGGAAGATACACTGTCAATGAGAAAAGAGATTCAAGATCTTAGGACAAATGCTAGAATTTTTCAGCTTAGCAAGTGCACTGCATGCACCTTCACCCTTGATCTGCCAGCTGTGCACTTTATGTGCATGCATTCATTCCACCTGCGCTGCCTTGGCGATAATGAAAAAGAATGCCCTGAATGTGCTCCTGAATATAGGTCTGTCTTGGAAATGAAAAGAAATTTAGAGCAAAATTCTAAGGATCAGGACAGATTTTTCCACCAGGTGAAGAGCTCTAAAGATGGGTTTTCTGTCATTGCTGAATATTTTGGAAAAGGGATCATCAGCAAAATAAGTAATGGATCCAATTCTGAACCCAGATCCGGAACTGCATCATCCACTAGTGGTTTTTAAGGCTTGAGATTTCTGCTACTTGCTTTTCAGCAATTTTTCATTTATCATCAAAGAAGTTGGGTCTCTAGATTTTGGATAAAATTTGGTTATTTTTTTTGGTTTCAGATTTCTTAATTACTGCCTTTTGTCAGGAGTCCAAGGTTTGTTTTGTCCAGAATGTGCTGACTGCTGTAAATTTTAACCAAGAGTGGTTCATTCATTGAGGAAAGTCCCTGAGTGGTCTTACTCTTTCGCCAGAGTATTGAACCTTTGGGAAGGATTTGAGGTTTCTGATTCTATGGATCCGAACATAACCTTTTTATTTCAGTTGCTCCTTGATGGAAATACTGGCCACATATTTAAGGCAATGTGAGATTTACTAGGTATGAATTCAGTTGATAGTTTTCTTTTTCTTGCTTTTCAGTGTGTAATATTATGGCGGATTAGAATCATGGAATGAGGTTTTTATTTTTATTGTTTTATTTTTTGTGATAGGTATAGAAACAAAATGAATTGTCTGTTTTAGCCAATGGCCATTGATTTTCTTGTATTTGATGTCCTGTTTCTTTTTCTCTGTTATTAGAAATTCCATTTACACTGTATTTATTTAAACATACATTGTCTTTGCTCTGCACCTCATGACAAAATACATTTTACTTCTAAATTCTGATTGGATCACCCAGAATATATAATTGGGTTAGAAATTTAGAAAATGATGAGGTTCTAGCTCTATCTGGTCTTGAATGTTTAATGTTAAATCCATTATTAGTTTTTTTTCTCTCCCTCTCTCTTGCTTTGAGTGCTTGCACCTCCAGTTTGCTTTGAGTGCTTGCACCTCCAGTTAATGCTGTTTGACTGGGTTCAGAAACTCACTTTAGTTTTAGACTATTACATTTTATTTTTTGGAGTAAATTTTAAAATTTGTTTTAAATCTGGCCTTGGGCACAGGAAAATTCTTCTCTCAATCTTTGCGAAATATAATTCTTAGTATTTCGAGTTGAACACATTAGAATTATTCATCTATTCACTTATTACCGTTTGATTAAAATAATATATATATTCTATTTTTCTACCAAATGAAAAAAATTATTCTTTGAGTAAGTTAAATATAGTAATTAAATAAGAGGAAGGAGTTGTTGATAGTTTATTAAAAGACATAAGGATTTTATTAAAAATATGAGGTGAATTTATCTTCAAAATTAGACGAGTTGTAATTGTTATTTTATTAAAAATTTACGGAAGTGAATATTTATTTTAAGATGTGGGTATTATTTAGTATAGTTTTTGGATAAATAAATGTAATTTTTTCTAAATTTCATTTGTGTAATTTAATATTGGCTCTTGCTTCTTGCATTCCCATAATTTTTTCATGCATCTTCATCTCTCAAACCTTAATTCCTATGTTATTTGAATTTTTTTTTTGCTATCTTATTCATTGAAGGTCTTTTCAAACAATTAAAAATAAGTTTGTTAATAATAAGTTTGTTAATATTATGTATGAATTATATGTTTCTGCACTTAAATTGTATAAATAGATCTACATTGTTCAATTTGAAAGATAAGGTTAAATTTTGAAATATTCAATCGGGAATGTATTTTCAGATTAGATTTCCTTTTTGGAACTCCCAATTTGGAATGCATTTCTAGATTGATTTTCTGGAAATGTATTTTGGAACACCCATTTCAGAATACTGTTACGGAGGGTGGGATGCATTTTTAGAAATTAATTTTGGAAAGATGAATCCAGAATGTATTTCTAAAAAATTAATTTTGAAAATGTATTATGAAAAACATTTTCTAAAATGCATTTGTAGAAAATCAATTCTGGAAAGATAAACCCGAAATGCATTTCTAAAAAATTAATATTGAAAATGTATTCTCTTGAGAATTCAAGTGTGAGTTTTAAGTTTCACATTGGGTAGAAATGAAAAAGTTGAGTAACTATAAGTGAGAAAGACCCATGACCTAATGTCTTAAGGTTTTGGGTTAAAGGTGATGTCATATTCTCTTATATGGTTGACTCATAACCCGTTTATGAGAATCTTTCATTTGTGTTGAAAGTTTTTCTGACAAGGATTAGACAAGTGAGTCACGTTAAGTTAAACAGTTGTACAAGTAAGAAATGTTTCTGGTCGAGGGAGAGGTATATCAATGTGAAAGGGAATCACACTTGATCCATTTGTGAGAATTTCTCCGTTATTAATCCCTTCAAAAATACCTAACATATTTTGGAATCCATTTTTCAAAATACATTTCTAGAACATCCAAAAATTATATTCCAAAATATGTGTTCTAAAATATATTTATGAAAAATTAATTTTAAAAATATATTCTGAAACTCACTTTTCATAATGCATATTTCCAGAAAATTAATTTCAAAAAAAGTATTTTGAAAAATACATTCCATATTTTTTTGAAAAAAAATTTCAGTTTTCTCAAGATGATATTTAATTCATGTATAAGTCAATTTAAGGTTATACATCTATTTTTTTCTTATTATTTTCTTTCCTTAAAAGACATTATAGAGAAATTTATCCAAGCGCAGCGTTATTAAATGAACACTAATTATCGTAATACATATTATTATTATAAATATTACGTAATTTATACAATATGATTATATTATATTAAAAGAAATAATGTGATGTATTAATAAAAGTTTGTCGTGTTCTTTTGTTTTAACATAAAAACAATGATGTTATACTGCAATACCAACAAATAGTTTTGATTTGCATCTCCATGTCAATTTCCTACACATCAAACAGAACTTTCCCTCGCTTTATGTCCTGTGCGGTTCACAAGACAAAAATTAAAAGAAAGAAAAAGATAGAAAACAATGCAGAATGTTTAATTATCTGAAACTAATAAAAAAATAAAAACAAAATTTATTTAATTAAATGCCTTTATGATAGAAAAACAAAAGTGTGATTGAAAACAGGTAAAACAAAAGGATACACTTTGATTTAATCAATTTTAATTTTTCTTTCTCTTTTCTCACCAAACACTACACGTTAATCCTTTTTTCTCCTGCCGTCCTTCTCCCTCAGCTGAACCAAAACAAGCAATGAGTCTGACTAATTAATTTGATCTCTCTGTTCATAACACATTCTTAATTCTCTTCAACATACATATTAAACTAAAATTAACATAAATTTACACATACAAAAAAAAAGCTAATAACATTTTATGTGGAATGATTAAATTAAAAAATGTGTTTATTCAAGTTATGTTAAAGTCTTTTCAACAAAAGTGGCTTGTATCCAACATCATGTGTTATGTTTTTGTTGTTAATGGAGTTGATAACTATAATTCATGAAATTTCAACAACAAACCAAACACGTGCCCTTTCTATTTTAAACTTCACCATTTTCTTGGTTTCCATACTACAACTCCAACCAAGGAAATTTTATCTACTTTTTTTCGTCTTCGTCCTTTCTTGTGTTATTCTCTCTCATCCTATTTCTATACCATACACCGAATATATTCTTTTTTCAAAAAGTGTTTTTGTACTTTATGTTTTTAAATTCATTACTTTATATTCGCCTTAACCATTTCACTAAATAAGATATTCATTACTTTAGTCTATAAAAGCATCTTCATTAATGCTCATAAGAATTATTTAAAAATAAAAATAAATATTTTATTATGGATTTCATATTTAAATATTAAAAATAAATATTATATCAATTAAAGCTAAATTTAAAGTATCACGTTAAAAACATATTTTTGTTTCTCACTTTATTTTCCATCTCATTTATGCTTTCTCATGCTAATTCTTTTATTCCTTCCATGTGATGCATGTATACTATACGGTATAGGATACAATAAGTATCTTATACTATAATATATTTATTTTAAAAAAAGTACAAATATATATATATATATAATATGTATTTTAAAATTTATAAAATATAATAAATATAAAATTACAATTATATAAATCTAAATTTTAAATCACATTTCTTAAATATTATAAAAATAAAAAATACAATTTATTATCATTATAAAATATTTTTTATTATTTATATATAAGAATAATCATATTAATTTTATTATCTTTTAAAATATTTTATAAAGAATAATTTTTTATTTATGAAAAAATATTTATATATTTTTATTTAAAACATACATATATTTTTTGAGTGAATATAAATAATTTAAAATTTTGAATATTTAAAATATGGGAAGCAAATTAAAGTATGGGTGGTTGATAGTCTCTTCTTATAATATAATGCAGAGTTCATACTCAAAACCAAAGGCTTCACTTTCTCTGAGTTCTATCCGATAAGTTGTATACTTCACAAAGCTACCATGGAGAAAACGGTTCACATAGCAGTAGTTCCTGGTCCTGGCTTTAGCCACTTGGTTCCAATTCTTCAGTTTTCCAAGAGACTTGTTCAGCTGCATCCAAACTTTCATGTCACATGCCTAATTCCCACACTTGGTTCTCCCCCAAGTGCCTCAAAATCCATTCTTGAAACTCTTCCACCAAACATCAACTCCATTTTTCTTCAACCTATCAAAGCTGAGGACCTACCACAAGGGGTTGCCATAGAAACTCAAATTCAGTTCACAGTGACTCTATCTCTGCCATCTATACACCAGGCCTTGAACACCTTAACTTCAAAGAACCCCTTTGTGGCCTTGGTAGCTGATTCTTTTGCCTTTGAAGCATTAGATTTTGCTAAGGAGTTCAACTTGTTGTCCTATATTTACTTCCCTTCATCAGCAACAACACTGTCTTGGTACTTTTATGTGCTCATATTGGACAAGGAAACGTCATGTGAGTATAGAGACTTGCCTGAGCCTGTTAAAATACCAGGCTGTGTTCCAATTCATGGCAGGGATCTCAATAACCAATCTCAAGACCGATCAAGTCAAGTATACAAACTCTTCATCCAGCGTGTTCAGCGGTTCTGTTTTGTTGATGGGATTTTCATTAATAGCTTCTTTGAAATGGAAACAAGTCCCGTAAGAGCATTGAAAGAGGAGGGAAGGGGGTACCCTCATGTTTATCCTGTTGGGCCAATTGTTCAAACTGGTGATGATGCAAAAGGGTTGGAGTTGGAATGTCTAACATGGTTGGACAAACAACAAGTTGGTTCAGTTTTGTATGTTTCTTTTGGGAGTGGTGGAACACTCTCACAAGAACAAATAACTGAGCTGGCTTATGGTTTGGAATTGAGTAATCATAAGTTCTTGTGGGTTGTGAGAGCACCAAGTAGTTTAGCCTTTGATGCATATCTTAGTGCACAAAAAGATGTCGATCCTCTACATTTCTTGCCATGTGGGTTTTTGGAGAAAACCAAAGAGCAAGGTATGGTAATTCCTTCATGGGCACCCCAGATTCAAGTCCTTGGTCACAGTTCAGTTGGAGGGTTTTTGACTCACTGTGGTTGGAATTCAATCCTTGAGAGTGTGTTGCATGGTGTGCCACTCATCACATGGCCACTGTTTGCAGAGCAGAGAATGAATGCGGTTGTGTTACGTGAGGGTCTGAAAGTGGGAGTGAGGCCAAAAGTTGGTGAAAATGGGTTGGTGGAAAGGGTGGAAATTGCTGAGGTAATAAAGTGTTTGATGGAAGGGGAAGAAGGTGGGAAAATGCATAAAAGAATGGAGGAATTAAAAGAAGCTGCAACTAATGCACTCAAAGAAGATGGATCTTCTACCAAGACCCTTTCTGAGTTGGTACGAAAATGGGAAAGTTTGGTTTAGGAAAATAAGTTTTATGGAAAGCTTTCATGGGGATCTTTGCATTTTTATCTCTTTTCTATTTCTAGTAAGTGCAAATCATTCTGTGCTTGTTGGCAAATAAGAATATTACAGATGTTGAATGTGATCATCATCATTGTTATTTGCACTATTAATCTGCTATTGTAGCATGCTCGTGTGGAATTTCATGTCGTGTCTTCAATGTGTGAACCCTTTATATGGTACAATAGGTACCACGATGATCATAATATTATTGAATTTGATTACCAGTGATTCTGCACCAGGGACTATTTTTGTGGTTTTGCACTGTCCTCATTTGCTGTGTTTCTGGCTGTATAATGTATGAAATAAATATAAAATAAATTACATTAGTTATAACTAATTCTTTTTTTTAAATTACATACTTTTTCTGTCTTTTTATTTCCATATTAATTGTTTTAAAATTTGATTTATAAACTATCTTCATCTTTATAAATATTATTATGAAGCGTGATACGTGTTTTAGGTGCTAGTCTAGGAATAAGCTATGAATAAAAAGAAGCGGCAAAAAGTAGACTTTTCATTATTAAATTTGGTGCGAAGGTGTGTAGTTAGGTCTGAGAATACTATTACAACATAAAATATTCAATAAATTCAATCCTAGGATAAGATAACATAAAAAACGACTTGCTGCCACTAACTAAGCTTACGAAAATTGTGTAAAATGACTTTGGAAATTGTTAATAAAGTTTTTACTTTTTCTAAAGAAGAAAGTGGAAGATTGAAGAATAACTAATATAGACTATGTTATATATATTTTATTAATTTGTCATGTTAAATATTTGATTATACTGTGATATAATTAATATTTATGCTTATTTTTTGTTATAGAAAAAATTATAAATAATATTAAAGTGATAAATAATAAATAAATTTTATTTTATTTTTACTCTTTTATATCTAGCAGTACAAAATAAATAAAAGATAACCTCATTCCATCATTATTATATATAAATTGTTATGGAAAGAAACATAATAATAATATTGAAATTAATTTTAATTTGGTAACGTTAATTGGATTATAACTTCATGATATATAATAATGATTACAAAAGTTATTGTATATTTAAAATAATAACTTTTTAATAATAATTTCCTCTATTGAATAAATTATTAACAAAATTTATGAAAAATTTGTCTTCATAAAATGAAAGATGATAGTTTTTATTATAACTGTCATCATATATTGGGACAGTTATAAATAGAATTGTGGTATGTCTCGTTATACTTTAAATCATTTTACATTCGTGCCTCCAATTCTTACTTTCTTCTTATCTCTTTTCCTTTTGTTTCTCTTCTTTAGGATTCACTTTTCTTCTCTTTCTTCTCTCACTTGCTAAGTGTTTTCTTTTTCATGGATATCTCTAACATGTTCAACTCCTTTTTCCTCCCCCTTTTTATCTCTTTCTCGAAGTGTCTTTTTCGTAGTGATATCTCTAACTTTCTTTGCTAGGGAGAACAACATAATAAAAGATTCTAACAAGAAAATGATTCAATATATGCTAGTAAAGCTGCTTTTAGATGAGTTACAAATGAAGAATGAATTTTAGATTGTTCTGTTAGACAAACTTTGTGTGACCACTAAAACTTTTATCGGGTGTTAAGGTTATGATAGAAACTTTTGATTTTGTTAGATAGAGACTTTAACATACAATGACAGTTCTAAATATATTCATGGTCGTATTGATAATATGTATGGATACAAATTATGGTTGATTTTATAATTTTTAACAACGACGGTAACAATATGGTTTTCAAGTGTTTGTATTCCTTGTGAGCAGTGGTGATTTAATTTAAATGATTTTATTATTTTTTTAATCTAAATAAACCTTTTATTCATTTAAGTTCTGTTTTGCTTTTTTTTTTTTTTTCATTTTTCACTTTTCATCGTTCAAACCAACTAAGAGATAAATTTTTTTATATTTTCTTCATTCATTTCAGACTAGTTAAGAGTTAGTCTAGAAAAAGACAAGTTCATTGATGGAAAACTTGTTTAGGATAAATTATATTTTTCTCCTCAAATTTAAAGGATTTCCTCCTTTTTATTCTAGCCTGCATGAGGGGATTTTGTTGTTTGTGTATGAGCTATAATGGAAAAGGATAAATCCTTTATTAGTTTAGGTTTGTAATGATATATTTGATTTTAAATTTGATTTCTTGAAAGCAAGTTAGCATATCCTTAACTCTTAGAAAATGAAGAATTCTAAAGTGGAAATTAATAAATATTTAATTTTGAAATGAAATGCGAATAGGTGGGGAGAATATATGTTTTATTTTTTTTTACTTTAATTAATAAGAAAAAAAATTTATATTATTATTATATTATTAATTTAGGTAGTTAAAATTAAAATATTATTAATATTTTATTTTGTTATATTTTTATTTTATATATAAATTATATGAATAAAATATTACACAAGAAACTCTACCGTCTCGTATATCTTCTATGTAAAATATAAATATTTAAAACCATAAAATCATAAAATCTGAATAGTGGTATCTAAAATTTTGGTTTTATTTTAGACTTGTATAATGAAAGGAGAAAGAAGTTTCTCACCGGTTGTTAATCCACATTTCAATGATGAAAGTTATGACCTATGAGTTATGAGAATGTAATTTTATCTTGAAAGATTAGATTTATGAGAAGTTGTGGAAAATGATTACATAGTTGATACATAGCCTAAAAATCTTACCATGATCCAAATAAAAATTTAGAAGAAAATAAAAATAAGGAAGTCAAAAGTGAAGTCATATTTGTTTACTGGTTTTCATAAATGATCCTCACTATAATTATGACCTTAAAGTCACATAAAAATGTTTGAGATTATTTGAAAGAAAAATATGAAAAGAACAAGAAAACTCCACGTATGAAAGGTATAAAATTGATTAGGGAATTCGAGCTACAAATGATAAAAGAGTATGAAACAATTAAGGAATATACAAACAAATTCTTAGATATTGTAATAAGATAAAATTGCTCAATAAGAAAAATTGTCAATTCTAGACTAGTAGAGAAATTTTTGGTAATAATGTCGGAAATATCTGAAACATCTATTGTTTTATTGTAAAACACAAAGGATGTTTCTAAGATTACTTTGACATAAGTGCTACATGTTTTACAGACGCAACAAAATGAGGATTGATGAGAAAATATCATGCAGTCAAATGTGCTATATTATATTATAATAGTCAACATAGAGGTGCCAAAATATGCTTTATTATATTATATTAGTCAACATAGAGATGTTAAAATGGGCAGCCTAACGTAGTTTGGTTCTATGAGCCAAATAAACAAAATTTGATGATTTAGTTTGATCTATGTTTTAAAATAAATTATAATTTTTAGCCTAACCTGATCCTATCTTAAGCCAACGGGCTAACAAATTAATTTTGACATAATTAAAAATTTTAAAAATTATTTAAACAAAAATAAATAATAAAACATGTATTTTTAAAACATAAATTATAATAATAAAATTAGTTTTTATTGAATGATATAAGAGAAGATCTATTAAATCCAAAAGTAAGATTTACAAATTTACTTTTAATTATTATAATTCATTTTTTAGTAATTTATTGATCTAAAATAGTAATTAATCTTAACTATTAAATCTTATAATAAATAATTGATAGAGATTTACTCTAATATTTTCTCTTAGAATAAATGAATCTCTTATCAAATTAATTTATAATACATATATATTTTTTAATAAAATAATATCACTTTAATTTTTATTTCAAAAATGGTTATTATTTTATAAAATGGGTTGACCTATAAACTTATGGGCTAACTTGACTTAATCCAATATAGGTCATAACTTAAATTGGCTGGACTAAAATAAGTTTCATTCAATTTAGACCACACATTTTTTAACCTAACTTAATTGATTTTTTAAGTTTTTTGGGTCAGCTCATCAAATTAAGCTTATTTTGACACCTCTATGTTAAAGTATTCACCAAGCCAATAACTATATAAAGGTAATAAATCACGTGTCTTTTCTATTTATCCCTGTTACAAGAAAAATAATCACTAATACAAGTGTTAGTGAAGACCAAATATGAAATGTCACAAATGTGGTCAATTGAGACATATAGAAAATATATGCAAATCTCAATGTTAAGAAGAAGTTGTCAAGGTTATAAAAGACAAATAAAGAGGAACATCTTTTTGCAATACCATGCTTTAAAACTAACAAATTCATTGGCTTATAAATAGTAGTTGTAAAACTACATGACTCATGATCAAGAACTTTCAAAGAGCTCAATGAATCTATTATTTCTAAAGTAAGAATTGGAAATTGAGAACAAATGAATGTATGAACAATTGCAATTAAAATTCATTAAGGTGTTAACTTAATTTTGATGTCTTATATGTTTTCAACCAAAATTTATTAAGTGTTAATTAATTATTAAAGAAAAGTTATAAGGTATCTTTTGAACACAAATTTTATAATTAAAGATGTGCAAAATTTAAAATTATTCAAAGTTCAAAAGAAAGGAAACACTACAAGAAAAATTCATTTTAGCGACCGAAAAAATCGGTCGCTAATGTCAAAAAATCGGTCGCTAAATCAATAACAAAGTAAAAAAAATAGCGACCGATTTAAATCGGTCGTTAAATCAAAAACAAAGTTAAAAAAATAACAAAGTAAAAAAAATAGCGACCGATTTAAATCGGTCGCTAAATCAATAACAAAGTTAAAAAAATAGCGACCGATTTAAATCGATCGCTAAATTAATAACAAAGTTAATTATTTTTATTTATTTACATTTTTAATTATATCAAGTTCATTAGACAACTTTTTTCTCCAATTGGACACAATTGTATTACATAATGAATGCTTAGTAGTTAGTAGTTAAGATGCATTCTCATCCATGAAATGTGGACCAATTTGTCATAAACTTAAGATTTGAGAAACATTTGCAAATTGAAACTGCCAACTAACAGTGACAGAAAAGATTTC